GAAGTATCGATCCATATATACATAGCAAAATATAGCAGACATGTCAACAACCACCATATATGGATATATGTCACTAAGCAACGGACTGTCAACAAACACTCATATTATATATAATATAATATAAGGAGAATATACATTGTTAAAGGAGACAAATTCATACAAGTGGAGTGGTCACAGACTAAGAGAGCAAACAGAAAGAGAGACCAACATACACACACACACATAAATATATATATGTGGATACATATCAGCGCTCGAATAAAAAAACTCCTCCATTTCACCTTTGGAGTGTATCCAAGGGTTAAAGTCGGCAGTCGTGTGACTAGCTAGCTAGCTAAAAAAAAAGGATCACAGACAAAAAGAACATAGTAGAGTAGTGCTGTTGAAGTCCTATGCTTCACCCAGAACCCAATTTTTGTTTTCCTTCACGTTCCCCAGTGGAACATAGGGGGCTTCAAGCTAGTGGCTTGAAGTTTCTGGAGCAGTGTTCAATTTTTTACAGGATAGGGTTGCTAGCCAGCCTCATGCCCAACCTTTCCTCTTCACCAGCATTATTTCTGGCTTAGCGAGCGAGGTGAAGGAGTGCGTCCACTGGCCGGGGGGGATCGAACCCCGGACCATGTGCATGGTCGGCGAGTGTCCTAACCGCTGTACCACTGAACCCAATGGAATAACAATAATAATAATAATAGAAGTAATAATAACACCAGGTATCATTGTGAAAACAAGGGCGTAGAAATTCAATATTGACGAGTTAGGCGTGTTCATGCATGTTTAGAAAGCAAGTTTAGAGCTTATTTAGGTCATAAGAAAAAATGCTATTAAGTAATCAATGAGTATACCCTCATTTTTGTCATTGAAAATCGATCAGCCTTGTATGTGATTAACTATGAATACTATTGAACTGTGTCAAATCATAACCCTCTCAGCCCCCAAAAAAAGAATTTGGTGTATGCATGTATTTAGCTGGTTTAACTGCGAAAAATAACCTTTTTGAATAAAGCAAGAATAACAATGGCGATTTGTGCAGAATAAAATGCTACCATCAGCTATTTAAACTGATATCAATCCGTGATCAACTAGTAAAAACAAAACTAATCCATACAAACCAACTATAGAAGATCCATCATTTCTCATGCATATTGTGATTTAGTGTGTGATCAATTCATCGTCTTTTGGCTCACCTTGGTCTTTGTCTGATCACCAACCAATCAGGATATATTTCAGGATTTCATCATGAGCTGACATCAGTTGGAGAACCATTGGAAAACCTGGGATTACTGGACAGCTGTTTCGTCCTAGTTTGGGACTCTTCAGCAGTACTCACTCGCCGGAATTCGAACCCAGGACCTTGCGGTTACAAGGCGAGCTCGTATACCATTAAGCCACTGGGACCCGATCCAATGGTCCTTGAATTCTAATTTCTGCCAATTCACGATATAGCGCGACAGCTAGCCAATGTCTTCGGCGAGTATTTGACCTCACACCCGACCCGCTGCACCCTACTGGTCACGACTTCCTACTAATGTCAGCTCACGATGAAATCCTGTAACCAATCAAATCCCTAGAAACCAACACTTGAATACCAATGAGATGCTCACTGGCGACTGGCCCTATTCAGGTAGGTAGCTACCTGGGTTCCAGTGGGAAGTCGTGACCAGTAGGGTGCAGTGGGTCGGGTGTGAGGTCAAATACACGCCTCCGAAGACATTGGCTAGCGGTCGCGCTGTGTCGTGAATTGGCAGAAATTAAAATTCAAGGACCATTGGATCGGGTCCCAGTGGCTTAATGGTATACGAGCTCGCCTTGTAACCGCAAGGTCCTGGGTTCGAATTCCGGCGAGTGAGTACTGCTGAAGAGTCCCAAACTAGGACGAAACAGCTGTCCAGTAGTCCCAGGTTTCCAATGGTTCTCCAACTGATGTCAGCTCATGATGAAATCCTGAAACCAATCAAATCCCTACAAGCCAACACTTGAATCAGGATATATGTTTTCAAGTATTGGTTTTGTAAGGATTTTGTTGGATTACATGGAGGATTTCATCATGAGCTGACATCAGTTAGAAAACCACTGGAAAACCACTTGGGAGTACTGGACAGCTGTTTTGTCCCAGTTCGGGACTCTTCATCAGTACGCACCTACCACCAGGGTTTCAATCCACGACCTTCCGGTTACAAGGCAGGCTCGTAGACCATTGAGCCAATACAACCCGATCCAATGACCAGCCAGTCCATGAATTCTAAATTCTTCCAATTCACGACATAGCGCGACCATTTCCCAATGTCTTCTTCGGTGAGTTACTGCCTCATCTCCAACCTGCTGTACCCTACTGGTCACGACTTCTTACAAGAACCCCAGGTCACTGCCTAAATAGGTTCGAACCTCGGTGGTTGCGTACTGCTGAAGAGTCCCAAACTAGGATGGAGGACTCAGCTGTACAGTACTTCCAGCAGGTTTTCCAATGGTTCTCTAACCAATGTCAGCTCATGATGAAATCCTCCGTGGATAATTTCAATCAATAAGAAAAGTCCATTCTCACGGTTGTGTGTTTTGTTTCTTAATAGATGTTCAATACAATATCTCACGGTCACAGGTCAGTCTTTGTCTTTTGATATTTGCGTGGCTCAGTGAATCATAAGGTAAAACGGACAAATAGACGTATTATCGCGTACCAGTCGAGTTAGAGGCTAATTAACAGGCGCAGACGTAGCAAAGCAGCAAACGGTTTATTCAGTTCAGTACAGTTATAACAAATTGGCAACTACTTCGCTACTACAGGGTGGTCCCAACAATTATACACCTCCCGTAACAGTTGTACGACAATACTGCTCATGCCAAGTAATTCACAACGGGAAACTCACGGAGTCCTTGGAAGTGAAGACGGGAGTAAGAAAAGGCAGGCTGCCTAATATCTCCAATGATTTTCCTGATTGACAACGGTAGACTGCATAATGCGACAGACAGACACACAGCCGTGGGCAGTGGAGAAACAGGCATAAAATGGATACACACAAAAAATACTTGGGGGATCTGGACTTCGCCGATGATAAACATGTCTGATTTCTCACGAACCGGAAGATATGCAAGTGATGAAAAGCAACAAGTTGGCGATAGAAGAAGCATCCAGATAAGATAGGACTTCAGGTGAACATGGAGAAAACAGAAGTAGGTGATGAAGATTCCTGGGCAACAGAAACAGCGAAAACAACAGACAACAATCAGCATAAATGGGAGAAACCTGAAAGAAGCAACCTCCTTTACCAACTACAGGCGGAACTGATGAGGATATCAAAGGGAGGATCGGGAAATCAAGGCAAGCTTTCATTACTCTCAAGTCTGTGTGGAGATCAACACTCAGCACTCATCATCAAATATAAGATCCGGATTTTCAACTCCAATGTAAAGTCAGTGCTACTCACTTTACAGATCAGAGACTTGGTGCCATGTAACGAAGGGTACTTCGAACAAACTACAGACCTTCATTAACAGCTGGCTGTCTTCGCTCAATACTCAAGATCAGATGGCCAGCCAGAAAAGATCAGAAACAGGGAGGGATCTCTGAGAGTAAACCAACCAGGAACCGATTGTGAAACAAATAGGCAGGAAGAAATAGAGATGGATTGGCCATACTCTGAGAAAACCATCAAGCGAAATCACTAGACAATCCATTGCTCGAGTGGAACCAGACAGAATGGGAAGCGGCGAGTTGGTCGTCCCACGGTGGGGTGACTTGGAGGAGGTCATGTGAAGAGGAGATGAAAGCATGTGGACAGACTTGGAGGCAGGTGAAAACTCTAGCAGAGAACCGAACGCAATGGAGACGCGCGGTTGAAGGAAATAATAATAATAACAACAAATTTGCAACGGAGTTATAACAATTTGGCAACGGGTCATTTCAGTCATAGCACTGGTGTTGGTCGTTGTTGTCGGTTAAGCATCTCTTTGTCACCTCTTTCTTCTCTACTTTCATTTGATGTCCTGTCTGCTTCATCCTTCCTGTTAACTTGTGTTTTTGGTTTTCGCCTTATTATAACTCTTCTAGTTGCCGTGACATTTAGCATAAATCATCTGCGAAATCTAAATGGTCTGCTGACGAGAAAGCTACACTGATATGACTTAAACGCTAAATGTTAAGTTAACAAGACGGTTTAAACTGCTCCACACACACACAACCCCTCCCCCCTCCCGCCAGTTTTAAAAGCTGTAGATATGTCTTGTCACAAAAAAAACAAAAAACAGACAACAGTTTTAGACCTTGACGTTCACATTCAAATTCAGTTGTGATTGAACAAACATAATTCTACACAAAACAATTAGTCCCTTTGATAAATTTGAACAAGGCATTAAGAAGACAAATTTCGCGAGATGATATCGTCATTTCATAGTTTCTTTACAACAACCGCTTTACAACTAACATGGTTAACAATGATAAAATAAAGATCATGACAATTACTCAGTTAAATAAAAACAAAAGTACCTACTAATGACCAATCATATTAAGATAGGTCGTCGAAAAGAACATATTCCAAAATGGCTAGTAAATCATATCGAAAATCCTAACGCGATTAATCTTAATAGAAATCCAGCATCATCCATTGCAAAACACTTATCAATGTCAGGTCACGAAATCAATCAGTATTAATGACTGTTTCACAATTATTTCACATAACTCTAATTCAAGGTTATTGAAGGTGATGGAAGCACTTTCGATTAATCACATACAGCCTAAACTATGTGTACAAAAACAACACAATAGACTTCAATCTTCGCCTACCCTGGACTGCATGACCTATCCTAATATGATTGGTCATTAGTATGTACTTTTGTTTTTATTTAACTGAGTAATTTTCATGAACTTTATTTTATCATTGTTAACCATGTTAGTTGTAAAGCGGTTGTTGTAAAGAAACTACGAAATGACGATATCATCTCGCGAAATTTGTCTTCTTAATGCCTTGTTCAAATAATTCTAATCGTATAAATCAATAAAATTGACTTACATGGTAAAATATCATCATAACGATTTAAATAATAATTGTCTGGATGAATTGCAGCACGACACGTCAATTGATTCGCTTTCTCCAATTCACAACTTTTAGTATTTATTACCTATACATAGAAGATAAACTTGATGTTAGAGGTATCACAAAAACATACATAACCACTGCTGAAAGAACTTCAGTGTGTTCTCTAGCTGTAATTAATCAATAAACTTTCATGGAACACTGGATCAGGTTCCAGTGTCTGAATGGTCTTTGAGCTGGCCGTATAACCGGAAGGTGTTAAAAAAGGGACTCAAAGTTTTCATCACCTGGCTCCACATCTGCCCACATGCTTTGATCTCCTCTTCCTTACATCACCCCTTCCATGTCAAACTATCCTCGCTGCTTCCCATTCGATTCGGATTCCACTCAAGCAATGTCATGGCGTGTAATGTCATTCACTTGATGGTTTGTTTTCTCAGAGTATAACCAACCAATCCACCTCCATTTCTTCCTGCATATTTCTTGCACAATCATCTCCTGCTGGGTTGGTTCGCTCTTTGTCAGAGATCCCTCCCTGTTTCTGATCTTTTCTGGCTGGCCATCTGATCTTGAGTATTGAGCGAAGACAGCCAGCTGTTAATGAAGGTCTGTAGTTTGTTCGAAGTACCCTTCGTTACATGGCACCAAGTCTCTGATCTGTAAAGTGAGTAGCACTGACTTTACATTGGAGTTGAAAATCCGGATCTTATATTTGATGATGAGTGCTGAGTGTTGATCTCCACACAGACTTGAGAGTAATGAAAGCTTGCCTTGATTTCCCGATCCTCCCTTTGATATCCTCATCAGTTCCGCCTGTAGTTGGTAAAGGAGGTTGCTTCTTTCAGGTTTCTCCCATTTATGCTGATTGTTGTCTGTTGTTTTCGCTGTTTCTGTTGCCCAGGAATCTTCATCACCTACTTCTGTTTTCTCCATGTTCACCTGAAGTCCTATCTTATCTGGATGCTTCTTCTATCGCCAACTTGTTGCTTTTCATCACTTGCATATCTTCCGGTTTGTGAGAAATCAGACATGTTTATCATCGGCGAAGTCCAGATCCCCCAAGTATTTTTTGTGTGTATCCATTTTATGCCTGTTTCTCCACTGCCCACGGCTGTGTGTCTGTCTGTCGCATTATGCAGTCTACCGTTGTCAATCAGGAAAATCATTGGAGATATTAGGCAGCCTGCCTTTTCTTACTCCCGTCTTCACTTCCAAGGACTCCGTGAGTTTCCCGTTGTGAATTACTTGGCATGAGCAGCATTGTCGTACAGCTGTTGGATGAGATGTATAGTTGTCAGTGGCACCCCGTAGTAGCGAATTAGCTACCAAATCACCTCTCGATCGACGCTACGCCATTGAAGGCCATTTCAAAGTCGATGAAGTTGAGTGAGGTAAAGAGCTGACTGCTATTCCAAGTTCTGTTCAATTATGATACGTAGTGTTCCGTTTCGATCAATGCATGACTTGTTTCTCCTCAATCCGGTCGAAGTTTTTCATCCAGGAAGGCATGTTTGATTCTCTTCAGGATGACACGGCTTAGTATTTTCCTTGGGATAGATAGGAGCATAATGCCGCATCAGTTCTTGCATTGACTCAAGCCTCCTTTCTTTAGCAGTTTGAGTAAGTAGCCTTTCTTTCAGTCAGCAGATACCTTTCCTTCTTTTCACACCTTTTGCACTAGTGGTGTAACTCTTTTCGTCACTTACATAATTGACTTTGATACTTCTCTCCACGCCGTGTTTCATTAACATCCAGCGTTTTTTTTTGTTCTTGATTACAGCTTGATTCCACACCGTATTTTTTGGTACAAGTATGGAATTTTAAGCATGGATATCGGTAGCCCAAATTTCGCAGACCGACCATTGATATCACGTGTGCGTCGGCAGGGGATCGAAACCCGGACCATGTGCGTGGACAGCGAGGCATTCAATAGACAATGTTAACTAACAGAGTGTTATTCCATCTTATTCATGTAACCCAGTACAGTTTTTCATATAATTTCCATTTGCCTTTACTGACTATTTATATTCTAACAATCGTGCCAAAGCCAGTCGACATCAGAAAGGCAAAATAACCTTCATCAGCCTGTAACCAGTCTGGAAGTCTTCTGCAGTGCACTCAGCCAATGTGAAGACTTTTTTTTATTATAGCTTGATTCCACACCGTATTTTTTGATACAAGCATGGAATTTTCAGCGTGTGATATCGATAGCCCAAATTTTGCAGGCCGACCATAGATATTAGGTGTGCGTCGGCAGGGGATTGAACTCCGGACCATGTGCCACCGACCCACAAGAACAAGATTCGGACTGTGTTGAACACAAATGCGAAGTCAGTCAGTAACTTCTTCTATACTGGTCAAAAAATTGACCAGTGTCCGTGTCACAAAGAGCATTTCCAACAAGATACAGACTATTATATTCATCAACAGCTGCCGCCTTCAGTGGCGCCATGCTGAAGATGAAATTGCCACCCGGCCGGTTGGATGGCTGGCTGGCTGGCTGGCCAGAAAGAATTAGCAACAAGAAACTCTGACGACGAACAAATCAACAGGTGAAAGCCGATTGATCAACAAATATTTAAGGAAAAATGGAGATGGATTTTTCAAGCATACGTAGAGGAGGCCGTCGAAAGACATTGCGCGCAATTCAGGCCATCATTCGGGTAGAATCTGGATGGGAAGTTACGAGTGGGTAGTCACATAGAGGGTGACATGCAGGAGATCATGAGAGTTGGAAGACGAGGTGAGAGATTATGGGAAATTGTGGGGCTAGCCAGCTGAAGAGGACGGGAGAAATAGAACAAGGAAGTGAAGATGTGTTGTTGAAGCCGTATGTTCCATTCGGAACCCAAGGAAATAATAATAATAATAATCTTAATGGTTGCAGCAATGATTCGTCATAGTATGATACACTTCGGCGAATCAATTTGCTGGATAAAGAAGACATTCAGAAGTGTTAGTGTGGTGAGAGCTGGCTGCTAGCCAAAGTTGGTAGACAGTAATTAACGTCAATTTTTATGTCCCCAATATTGGTCGTGAGAAAAATGAGAACAAAGGCTTTGCGTAGGCGTATAGAGTTAAAATATAGATGATCTGACATTCAAGAAACAGCCACAAAGAGATGGAAGGTTAACTTTCTGTGAGAAACAATCACCAATCAGAAGACTGTGTTTTTCTGCTAACAATAATCTATAATATGTACATGAAAATCTATAAATATGTGTTGACTTCGTAAATAAACGATCTGTTGTCTGGCTGGCCCTTGTCTTCTTTTGTTACATTAGTATTATAAAGAATCAACACAGACTGGCTACACTATGGGCGCCATGAGATGTGCCATCTGTATATGAGCTCTGGAAACCGAAAGAATAGAATAGTACATGAACCTGTTTTTAGTCTCACCAGCAACACTGTGCCTCCTACCTTGTTGATCAGATGTCAAATCAATCAAAGTTCCAGTGGATGAGGCTCTTTAGGATAAGCACCTGATTCAATCTGGGAATCTGGATATTACTCTCTCCATACACCCATCACACAAACTATGTGATTTTGAATTGAACACCTCCTGTTGATGATTATGCATCAAATTTGTATTTTAATAAAGTAAATAATAATAAATAAATAAAATATGTCAATAAACTTACATTAAACTGATCAATAAGTACTTGTTTTGTACTACTCAGAGATTCATTTAAATATTCTTTGAACTGTGATCGAAAAATCAGTGGAGAACTGAAATTAAAATCAATAAGATATATATATATATATACGTGTTTAGTTGTGTATGTGCTAAATAAGCCAGTTTAAAAAGGGAGAAATAGTTTGGTGGATAATGTGACTGGCAATTGAATCCAATAGGAATGCGTTTCGTCCTACTTGGGACTCCTCAGCTTACCGAATACAGTTGAGTTCCCGAGTGGGTGAGTGATAGTGTAGATGTAGCGTGTACGACATGGATGCAGAATGATGATACGAAGTGGCTAAAAGTTGGAATCAATATTTTTTTACTCGGTGACTACAGAGATAGGATTTGGTTTACGTTGTGGTCTGGAAACAATCTCACTGGGCGTCTTTTCATGCCTTTATTCAAAATTGGACCAGTCAATAGAACCGATTTATTTATTTATTTTTATTTTATCTTATTTCTTTACATTCCATGTGGTACATACGGCTTCAAGCTGGGGCTTTGAAGTTTCGGTGGCATGGGTTTTACTTTTATGGTTTTGGGGTGGCTAGACTCACGCCCAACCTTCCATCTTTACCGGGCCTACTACCTGTTTAGCAAGTTTTAGAAGTGTGTCGATAGAGGATGGAACCCCGGACCACATGTAGCATGGTTGGTGAATGTTCTACCATCAAACATCCACTGCACGATTGTTTAGTCATTCCAGTTTAGGACTGTTCCTCAGTACACATACACACACACCGGCATCCGAACCCAGGAACTTCCGGTTACAAAGCGAGCTCGTAGACCACTACGCACCACTGGGACCCAACTAGTCAGAACAATTTACTGTCAACCGACCTGGCCAACTTTTAATGTGGCTAAAAATGTATAAATATGATGCGTTTCTACATAGTAAAAATGTCCGTTACCACTTCTGTTATCTTCTCCCGTTACATACCCATCGAAACGCGAATCTAGCACCCATCAATTCAAAAGTCACTAGAATATCTAGGACATGACAGCCACCTCTTTTGCAACGAGTACCAGTTAATCTTTGTTTTTAAGTCTCAATTGGGAACACTGTCACTCAGTTACTGGAGTATACAGGTACATCCAGGTAGTTGACGAATCAGTCCTAAAGTGGGAGGAAATGCTCATCATGGTTGATTCTACCTCTAATCACCAAATCCATTAATATGAGCAAATTTCTTGGGATCACTGTCGACCAAAGGAAGTGTGTACTGCACAGCCTGGCAGTTTGCTCTGTCCTCCTTATGGCTGGCTGTGAGTGAGGCATCGCCATTGAAAGTGGAATATATGAAAAGGCTAGCTGGCTGTCTTTGATCATAGATGTCTTAGTCCTGCCTGCTGTGTGTATTAGGTCGTATAATAGGGTAATATTAAGGTTAGGCATCCGTCAAGTGGTAGGCTAGGTAAGGAGGGGAAATCAGTCTACGAGGTGGTTGTAAAGTAGCTGCATAGACTGAAAGAGATGCTTAGGACATGTGTTACGCATGCATGCCTGGTCATCTATCGCCTTCCTCGACAACAAACAATGTTAACTGACAAAGGATGGAACAGGTTGGAAAAGAGCTAGCTAGCTAGCTAGTGGTGGTCAAACCAAAACATGGTTTCTTCAGTCAATCAAATCCACGGCAGTTAGTTTTAGCCAGCCGACTAGCCAGCCACGTAGGGAGATGTGGACTTCCTGGTTGACTCGTTTGGGTGCTTGGGGTGGTAAGAACCATTGAAGTCTGGAGACAATCGGTGATATAGCTCAAAGTCGTTCTCATCGATTGCGCAGATGCATTCACTCTTTGTGACTTATAGTATCCAACATAACTCTATTGTTCATTCGCATTACTTTTCTTTTTGCCTTATTGTTCTAAACCTACTTCTACTTTGTTCTCTTGTTTTTACTGGTACATGGAGGGAGTGTGGTAACTCGAACTACTGCACATCTCTGCAAAATTCTACGTGGAAACCAGTCAGTCAGATCAGTGGATATCACTGGAAGAATGGAATGGAAGCATGAAATGGCAATCAAACCTCTACCTCAAATTTATAAACTTTGAGAAGGCCTTCGACAGATAGCGTTGACCACGAAGTAATTTGGAAAATACTCGAGTACTACGGCGTACAGTGCCCCAAATATTCATCAACCTTATTCAACAGCTGTACGACGACGGAACATGTCAAGTCATCCACAATGGAAAACTCAGCCCGGCGTTTGGAGTAAACACAGGAGTCAGACAAGGCTGCCCGTCTATTATCACCAATGATATTCCTATATGTGATGGACTGGATTATGCGTCAAACAGTGGGAAACAAGAAGAGAGGGATATCCTGGACCGACGTGAAGAACCTAGAAGACCTGGATTTCGCGCGTGGATGATTTATATTTCATGTCGCTGTCACGAAATCGGAGACTTACAAGCGAAAACCGTCCGACAAAATGGTCAGAGAAGCAGCCGGCGAAGACAGGACTCCAGGTGAACATAGACAAGACGGAGGTGATGAAAATAACCAACCAACCAACAACAACAACATCCAGCGCCAATCACCATCAACGGTAAGGATTTGAAAAAAGTTACTTCATTCACTCACTTATCTAGGGAGCATTGTCTCAACTACACGAAGTCGGAACCAACGGGGATGTCAAATCGAGCGAGAATCGGGAAGGCGAGCGAGAAACACATCAACATCATCAATCTGAAACCAATCTGGAAAACCAATCTTCGTCACTCAGCCAGCATCAGCAACAAAATTCAGTCAGATTTTCAATGCAAACAAACGTCAAGTCAGTCACTTCTTCAATACGGGTCAAAAATTTGGCGGGCGGGTCACAAGGAATATTTCCAACCAACAGGCCAACTCACACCTTTATCAACAACAACAACAACTGTCTTCGCTGGCTCTATTAATGATGAAGATCAGACGGCCGGGCCGGAATCACCAGAATCACCAACAAGAAACTATGGGAACAAACAAACAAACAAAACAAGAACCAATCGATCGCCCAACACAAATATTCAGGAGAAAGTGGAGATGACACATTGGACACTCGCTGAGGAGGAGGCCACCGCTGGGTGACATCGCTCGCGCGTCAGGCCATTGGTCGAGTGGAACCAGGCCGAAAGGGAAGCGGCGAATGGGACGTCAGTGAAAGCAAGGGTGGGTGACATGGAGGAGATGGTGTGAAGAGGAGTTGAAACAGTATGGATGATGAACATGGATGCAGATGAAAAGTACAGTAGAAGACAGAAGCAAGTGGAGACGTGCCTTATGTTCCACTAGGAACCCAAGGGAACAATAATAATAATAAATACCATCCCTAGCTCCCACCCAACCTGATCCTATGTCAGCTAACAGTATGTGTAACCAATATCAATTATATCAATTAATTACAATTGTATTTCAGTGGTTGTTTACCCATAGTGTAACGCTAGAAGACCAGAGACTTGTGACTTGGTATCTCTATATGGAGAAATTGTATGTACAATTCATCTTCAAATCACCCCATTTACACACAGATCTTCTATTTTGTGCGTGCTGCTTCTTCTGAGCTTCCCTCATATTGTGTGTGTGTGTGTTTGTGTTTCTTTGTGTTCCTTTTACATTGTCTCCCATGTATCTTCACAACACTGTGTCGTTTGCTTTCTCTAACATAAAAACCTATCTCCTCGCTATTTGATGTTATATTATACCGACGAATATCTCTCTGTATATAGAGAAATACTACTGATAAGATTTATCAGTAGTACATATCGCAATAATGGTAACGAACATCAATCAAGAGATGACAACGATTACAGAACCATTGGAAAACCATCAGGGAGTACTGATATATAGACAGCTGTTTCGTCCTATTCTTTAGGATCCTTCACCAGTACGCTCCCTCTGCTGGACTGAGAATCCATGATGATTCAGCTACTTGAACCCGACTCAATAGCCCATGAATTCCAACATCCACTTCTTCTTTCCTTCACGTTCCCCAGTGGAACATAGGGGGCTTCAAGCTAGTGGCTTGAAGTTTCGGTAGCAGTGTTTATTTTTACAGGATGGGGTTGCTAGCCCGCCTCTTGCCCAACCTTTCCACTTTACCAGAATTATTTTAGGCTTAGCGAGCGAGGTAAAGGAGTGCGTCAGTGGCTGGGGATCGAACCCCGGACCATGTGCATGGTCGGCGACCGTCCTAACGGCTATGCCACCGACGCACTAAACATTATCAGGGCGAGACGCATGCATATAGCACACAACCATTAGGTCGCGTACTATCCCATCGCCCTTGGCAGATCTGGCAACAAAAGTCAGAGCATATGACAGGCTAGGTACCCCACCAACATCCACTGGGACTTGGTGGTTTTCAATGGTTCTCTAAAAGTGACATCAATTTGTGGTCAAACTTGATAAAAAAAAGAAAAGAAAATCCCTACAAATCAACTGGTGATAAAATCAATCTGATGCTTACTGGCTGGCTACTTGCTCCAAAGCCTCAGGATGGTCGGGGGTGGGTGTCTTGCGCTGCGGGTTGGCCACCCCTCCGTACACTTCTTGAAATGCTCCCATATGACCGTGCGTCTTACATAGCCTCTCCTGAGGAAGTCCTACTCACTGCCTTCACGTGGCGGAGGTGTTTATTTCACCGAAGTAAGAGGGCAAAAGCGGATGCCCGGCGCTCTTCACCGGGTTGACTGTCCATTGGATAACAGTCTAGGGGAGATGGCTAAACCCTGATTCCAAACCTCCAACGACTGGCGTATGAAGCTCACTGGAGTTCACCGGCAGACGTATGGACAAAGGGCTTATTGGATGCCCTGGATGTCTGGCCCCATTCAAAAAGGCGTATGAACCAGACTCCGGTCACCGGCTGGCTTCCAATGGATAGTGGACTCCCTACTCCACTCCTACTGCCTTGTAGGTCACACTTGGTTGTGTAAAGGCTAGAGCTGCACTCTCAAACAAAAGGCTGAGCGATTCTGGGGACATCACTCGTACCCAATTCCCATGAAACTTCATCAACTCTCTTACAAACATTCGAGATGTTCATGAAGCCGGTTCATCC